GAGCCTCTAACAATTTTTTTTGAGACAGTTTCACTATGTCACCCTCAGTAGAGCACTGTGGCGTCACAGCTCACACAGCAACCTCAAACTCTCGGGTTGAAGCAATTCTCTTGCCTCAGCCTCCTGAGTAGCTGGGACTTCATGTGTAAGCCACCACACAATTTTTTTTTTTTTTTTTTGGTGACAGAGTCTCACTTTGTTACCCTCAGTAGAGTGCAATGGTGTCATAGCTCACAGCAACTTCAAACTCTTAAGCTCAAGTGATCCTCTTGTCTCAGCCTCCTAAGTAGCTAGGACTACAGGTGCCCACCACAGAGCCTGGAGATTTTTAGAGACAGGGTCTCACTCTGGCTCAGACTGGTCTCAAAATTGTGAACTCAGGCAATACACCCACCTCAGCCTCCCAGAGTACTGCAATTACAGGCGTCAGCTGCTTGGCCCAGCCATCCTATTTTTTTTTCTTATTGTTTTTGAGACAAGAGTCTCACTTTGTCACCCTCGGTAGTGTCATATCTCACAACAATTTCCAACTCTTGGACTCAGTGATTCTCTTGCCTCAGCCTCCCAAATAGCTGGGACACAGGTGCCTGCCACAGCACCTAGATTTTTTTTTTAGAGACAAGGTCTCACCCTGGCTCATGCTGGTCTTAAAACCTTGAGCTCAGAATCCACCAGCCTCAGCCTCCTAGAGTGCTATGATTACAGGTATGAGCCACCTCGATCAGCCTAATTTGGGGGTTTTTTTGCAGAGACTGATCTCTATATTGTCCTAGCTGTTCTCAAACTCCCACCCTCAAGAGATCCTCCTGCCTCAGCTTCAAAAAATGCTAAGATTATAGGCATGAACACTACACCTGGCCAAAAGCATCTAATAATTTGTTTAAACTCCAAGAATTATATAGTTTTATTTATACTGGATAAGCAATTTAGTCCATCAGTAGATTTACAGATCAAGAAAATGAGGCCTGTCGGCCAGCACCTGTGGCTCAGTAAGCAGGGCGCTGGCCCCATATACCAAAGGTGGTGGGTTCAAACCTGGCCCTGGCCAAACTGCAACAAAAAAATAACTGGGCATTGTGGCAGGTGCCTGTAGTCCCAGCTACTTGGGAGGCTGAGGCAAGAGAATCA